GGAAGGTATTATGATGACTGAAAATGTCAATTGGAGAAGGACAATCATCATATGGTTTCACTTATATGTGGAATATAAGAAACTGAAAGAGATTATAAGGGAAAGGAGGGGAACTGAGTGGGAAAAATTAGAGAGGGAGACAAACCATGAGAGACTCCTAACTCTGGGAAAGAAACAAAGGGTTGCAGAAGGGGAGGTGGGTGGGGGGGATGGGGTAACTGGGTGACTGAGGAGGGCACTTGGTTGGACGACCACTGGATGTTATACTATATGGTGGAAAATCGAACTTTAATAAAAACAAGTGTAAAAACAAAAACAAAAAAGATGTGGTCTATATATACAAAGGAATACTACTTGGCCATCAAAAAGAATGAAATCTTGCCATTTGCAACATCCTGGTTGGAGCTAGAGCGTATTATGCTAAGTGAAATAAGTCAGTCAGAGAAAGACAAACACCATATAATTTCACTCATGTACAGAATTTAAGAAATGAAACAGATGAACACAGGGAGAGAAAAGAGAGGACGCAAACCAGGAAACAGATTCTTAGCTACAGAGAACACGCTGAGGGTTGCTGAGGGGAAGGGAGAGAGGGAGTGGTGGTATTAAGGAGGGCACCTGTGATGAGCACTGAGCATTATGTGTAAGTGATGGATCACTAAATACTACCCTTGAAACTAATAATAGCTATATTTAACCATCGAATTTATATAAAAACTTGAAACCTAAAAGAAATAATACAACAAAGAATGCAGCTAATAAAAAGAGGAAGGGAAAAAGAAGAGGGAGAGCAAGAGAGACAAATGAATTATTACTATTAATAAAGTAATAAATACTAATTATAAATGGAATAATAAATACTCTTTTATATTTTAATAGAATAACAAAAACATTTAATCCAAAGCAGGCAGAAAAAGAGGGAAAAAACCACAAAGAACAGATGGGCAGACATGACAAATAGGAGACAGCAAGGTAAAAGATTAAAATCCAATGCATCAATAATCATATTAATTATAAATGCTCTGAACAGCTCAATTTAAAAAGCAGAGATTTATAAGTTGGATAAGAAGGCAAGGTCCAATTGTATGTTGGTCCAATTGTGTTCTGCTTATGAGAAACCCACCTTAAGTAAAAATATATAAATAAGTTAAAAGTAAAATGATGGAAAAAATATATAAAGGGAGCAGGATTACCTATATAATATCATGTAAAGTATACTGCAGAGCCAAGCACATTACCTGGGAAAAGCAGCTCTTTCCATAGTGATAAAGGGGACAAAGGTTCCAACTTACCAAGAGGACAGACTCATCCTAAACATTTATTATGCACCTAATAATGAATTGCCAAAATACACGAAGGAAAAATTGGTAGAACCGCACAAAATTCTGTCTACGGGTACAACGGGAGATTTCAACATCATTCTCTCAAAAATTGGTAGAATATCTGGGCATAAAGTCCATTAGGGCATAGAAGACCTATGAGCATCCTCGGCCAGGGTGGCCTCATTGGCATTCATGAAACACGCCATCGAAAAAAATAAAAAATTAAAAAATTAAAATAAATTTAAAAAACCCACACCATCCAACAGCCACAAAATGGAACAGGGATGATAGAATTCTCAAGAATCAGTTCAGCAGCTTAACCGAGCCACCCACGTGCCCCTCTTTCTCAAGAAATCTAAAAGAATTCAAGGCATAATCCCTGACCACAGTATAACTAAGGAGAAGTCAGTAACAGAAAGATCCCTGGGAAATCTTCAACAAAAGAATGTATGTCTTCATAATTCTTGGGAAGAAGAAAGAAGAAAGAAGAAGAAGAACAACAACAACAACAGCAACAAAGATCTTTGAGCCAAAGGAAAATGAAATGACATTTAATGTCAAAATTCGTGAATTAAGCAGCACTTGGAGGAAAATGTATAATAAAACCGCTGAGTTAGAGAAAGTACAAATCATCTTGAGAAACTAGAGAACATGAGTAAATTAACCCCAAAGTTTTCAGAAGAAAATAAAGATCAGAGTAGAATTCAATGACATTGGAAACTCAAAATAACAGAGAAAGATCAATAAGACCAAAAGCTATTTCTTGAGATCAATAAAATGTATCAACTTCTAGTCACACTGATAAAAAAAAAAAAGAGTCTACACAATCCTACATCAGGAGAGAGGGGATGTCACCACAAATCCTACAAATGGTAAAGTGGGTAAGAAGGGAATAGTAAAAACAAGTTTGTGATAATCGAATGAACAACGTTCAGGCAATGACATAAATTCCCAAAACTACCTCAAAAAAGAAAAAAAAAAGGAAAGCCTTATGGCCCTTTATCTTTAGAGAAGCTCATTTTAGTTAAAACCTTCCTACTCTAAAGACAGACGTACAAATCCAAGCCGAAGGGCTTCACTTCCCAGAACGTCTGAGGAAGAAATGGTACCAATTCTACGAACTCTTCCAGGAACCCACAAAGGAAGGAACAGATCCCCCCTGGCGAGGCCTGCTTGGCTCTGACCTCAAAGCCTTGTCTGGCCTAGAAAATGAGAGAACAACCTATATGCTGGCAAACTGAACACCAATAGAAAATAAATTCACAAAAATAAATAAATAAATAAATAAATAAATAAATAAATAAGAAAAAAGAAAACGAGAGAACAACCTATACGTTGGCAAACTGAACACCAATAGAAAATAAATTCACAAAAATAAATAAATAAATAAATAAATAAATAAATAGAAAAGAAAATGAGAGAACAACCTATACGTTGGCAAACTGAACACCAATAGAAAATAAATCTACAAAAATAAATAAATAAATAAATGAACAAATAAATAAATAAATGAATGAATAAATAAGTAAGTGACTGACAATGAGAGAACTACATTATTCACGAGCGCCGACGCAAATCCCCTTACCACGTTTTGGCAAAGCGAATCCAACAACGCGCAGAACCGTTGCCGCACGACAGGCAAGCCCACGCCGGGCCACCTTCCCTCCGAGTGCCGCCAATACGGCGCCACCACCGACGGGAATCACCCTCCCGAGACAGGCATTCCCTGTGCAGGAACAAGTTGCCCTACTATCACCCAAACTAAGGTCGGCACCCGATTGTCTGGGGAATCCAAAGGAAACACGGCTCTGGCACACAGGCATTGCGGTGGCCACCGACGAGGAGGAGGCTCAAGCACGCAGGCTCCTGTGACCACCCGCCCGGGTCCGTAGATAATTAACCCCCAGGCCTGGCCCGACCGTTCCACAACGGCGTGAGACACTGTGATGTTTACGGACCCACAGGGCAAGCGGGCAAAGTCGAGAAATGTCCTTGTTTTGCTGGGTTTACAGGAAGGTGAGTGGCCTTTCCCGTTACACGTCCTTGGGAAAATATGTCAGTGCGTCGCATGTAGGCGCCCCTGCCCAGGGACACGTGGAGGGTCTCCCTGCCACTGAGCTTCCCGGAAAACTCACCGAGAGGTGGGGGCCCGGGGTGTTGTCAGTGGGGAACCCCAGGGCAGGCCCAACCACTGGGCTTACACCATCTAAAGGGACACCGAGAAGAGCGCCTGCCAACCCAGACGGGGCACCGCAGCCTCTGTCTGTGAACAAGCCGGAAGCCAGATGCGCGCACGCCAGGCCGACCCGGCTCTCCAGCGCACCCTGACTGCTCTCCTCGAGCTGAGTAGCTAATCGCAACTAAAGACCTGAAACCAGACGGGCCAGCTGACCGCGGGGTGCGCACCTCTAGGGACCAGCCAGCCTGGTGCCCCTGGACAGCCAGCCGCAGCCACACAAGGGTCCCCTGAGTCCCCTGGCACAGCCCACGAGAGACGCTGTGCTCCGTCACCTGGTGAGGCCGTGGCAAACAGCAGCGGTCGGTCTCCCTTCTGGGAGCCCACGTATGCGGCCGTCTGTCTGACATCGGCTCCGACCTGACACCTCCGGGCTTGGCCAGGCCGGAGCATCAGCAGGTCCGGGGAGAACGCGGCTGGGCCCCTCCCGGCACGGTCACAGAGGGCCGGCCGGGTCCCTTGGCTGAAGGCCGTGAGTCTCGTCTGGTGGCCTGCCTTGGGGCGCCTGCAGTGGCCCTAGACCCGGCCATCTCACGTGAGCCGACGGTCCTACCCCTGACCCACCCAATCCGGGCTGTGGTCGGGCCCTCACGTGGGATGACGGTGGCAGCTCAAGTCCCTTGAGGGACAGAGCCAGCATCGGGTGCGTTCCCCGGTCTGCAGGGAGACTCAGGCCAGCACTGTACACCCGCCCCCCCCAGGGCGTCCCAGCCGCATGGACAGGGGTCCAGAGGGCTCAGCATTCCAGGGCCTCTGCCCACCCAGAACCCAGAATCCAAGTGTACGGTGAAGACGGCACGGGCAGCGAGCCCCTCAGATCAGGGGTCTCCCCAGCACTCGGGGGCGTGGGCTCCCCAGAGCAGACGCGGGATGGGCAATGAGCAGAAGCACGCATCCACGGGGATGGGGCGGCAGACGTAGGGAGTGACCACTGCTGGGGACAGGGCTCTCTGGGAACGTGAAGATGCTCTAACCCTGACCGCGGCGACGGCGGCCCAAGTCTGTAAATACCCTGGAAACCACCGAACCGCATACTTTACAGGAACGAAGCGTGAAGAGAGTGGTTTTAACCTCAGTGCGGTGTTACGCAGAAAAGAATGATCAGGCTACGCTGTCCCCCAGCATACGGACGTGTGTGCAGACCCCCTATGCACTCGGGTACGCACAGGCCCACGCACACGGGTCTTCCCCCCTCTGTCTACCCGGAGGAACGGGATCACCCTTCATGGTCCCGAACACGCATCCTGCCCGGACATCCTCAGCCGGGACCTGTCATTCCCAGGTTAACAAAACCAGAGAAGTATCAGACTGGCCTCCTGCAGGTGGAGCGTCCCTAGAGATGAGCAAGGCGGCGTCCGGAGGCCGCCCAGCCGCACCGAGCACTTACTGCGCTCCAGGCCCGCCGCCAAGCCCGTCCTGGTGGGGAACTAGTCACTGTATCCTCACCCAAGCTGGAAGGTTTTATGTGTCACCCGGACCAGGCCACTGGGGATGGGGAGCTCACTGCTCAGGATGCCACCACACTCCTGTGCCTGTCAGGCGGGGCTCATGCGGCTGTGCTCAGCTTCCCCTGGTCCCCGTCCTGCCCCAGCACTAGCCCCTCCACCCGCACGGCCCCTCCCCAGGGGCTCCTTTGCCGCACCCCACCCTCCGTGGAGCACACGGAGCGCCTCTTGCCTGTGCCGTCCAGAGGTAGTCCAGCCGCAGCTTGACGTCCACCTGCCGGGCGTGCAGGGCCAGCGTGCACGAGAACAGCAGGATGGCCATGATGGGCTCGAAGCTGCGCCCGGACACCGCGCCGCCCCTGGGGGGGGTGGGGGGGTAAGGAGGGAAACCTTGTCAGTACAGAGGGCCCAAGACCCGTGCACGCGCCCCCGGGGCAGGCCAGTCGGCAGCACCTGCCACCGGCCTGGCTGCATCACCTCCCGCCCAAACCGAGGCCTCGCTGGCCCTGGGCCCAAATGGACACACGGAGAAGCCGCGGCAGCAGCGCACCTACCCCGAGGCCCGGGTGTAGCCGCTGAGCTCCAGGACCAGGATGTAGGACGCGGTGAGCACGAGGAGCAGGATCATTTTGGGCAGGGAGGACACTCGCAGGAAGATGGCCAGTGGGAGCGTGCCCACCAGGCCGCAGAGCAGGGCGTGGGGCGCAGACTCGCAGGGCGCAGCGGGCAGCAGTGTGTTCTGGCCGCCGGGCGTCAGGACCACCAGGGTCCTGTTGGGGCTGGAGCTCCAGGCCCAGGGCAGACAGCCCACCTGGAGGGGGCGGAGGGGTGGAGGGGGCAGGGGCGGAGGGGGAGGGGGCGGAGGGGGCGGGGGTGAAGGGGCGGGGGTGAAGGGGAGGAGGAGCAGAGAAAGCAGGGCCAGAGGAGGCAGGGGCAGAGGGGGCAGGAGGGCGGGGGGGGGAGGGGGCAGAGGAGGCAGGGGTGGAGGAGACAGGGGTGGAGGAACAGAGGAAGAGGGGGCGGTGGGGGCAGAGGAGCAGAGGGAGCAGGGGCGGATGGGGCGGTGGGGTGGTGGGGTAGAGGAGGCGGGGGTGGAAGAGGCAGGGGTGGAGGAGGCAGGGGCAGAGGGGACATAGGGTCAAGAAGAGGCAGGTGTGGAGGGGATGGTGGGGAGTGGAGGCAGCAGGGGCAGGAGTGGAGGGGGCAGGGGCAGAGGGGTCAGGGGCAGAAGAGCAGGGGTGGAGAGGCAGGGGTGTTGAGACAGGGGCAGGGGTGGCACGGAGTCGGGGCTCAGGACCAGCCGCCCTCAGCCCCACCTGCACCGCCCACCTGCTGCTACAGCTTCCTGTGGGAAGGAGGGGATGCCCCCAGGTGCCGCCCGCCCCCCCCTTGCTGTGCCCTCCAGGCTCCTCCCAGTGTAGGCTGGGAGAAGCCCGAGACCCCCTGGCCCCCCCAGACCGCCCGTGCCCTCTCCGGCCCCCCTACGGTCCCTGCGGCCCTGCCTCCCTCCTGGTACTCAGCGCCCCACCCCCTGCCCTGCCTCCTGCCCCAGCTTCTACTGCGCACTGGGGAGGGGCTGGGTGTCCCTTCACCCGGAGACAGCCCCCCTCAGCCCCGCACACCTGGGGGCTCCCCCCGCTACCCCCTGCCGCCTGCGGACATGCTCACCACACATCCTTGGGCCACGGAGTAGATCAAGACCACTATGAAAATACACAAGACGGTGCGGATCTGGATGGTCAGGCATCCGGGAAAACACTGGACGATAAAACACATCACTGTGAACACAGGCGTTCCTTAGAGTTGGTTCCGGTCGCAGGAACGGTCACAGCACAGAACGGGCCGCGCCCTGGTGCCGCTGGCTCCCCACCCAGGCCCCCCCCCACGCATCTCAGCTGTGCCCAGGCTTCCTCTCCCAGGTCGACGCTGCCAAAATTAAAAGAAACAAAAACTACTGTCCTTCAGTGAAAAACAACCACTCCTGCCACCGTGTGCCCCACGCTGTGCCTCTGGCACTGGAATGAACGGATTAACTTGACATTTTCATTGCATTAAATCCTTACTATGTTATGCATTTTTTAAGTTTATATGTTGTTATTCATTATATTAAATAACAAGGATTTACACGTACTTGTGTCTTTTTTAGGTACTTTAGGCTTTACGTTATTCACGTAGGCTTTACGCTGTTTTTGTTACTAGAAATTTTGTTTTAAATCTGTTTGGGGGAACCTGGTCAGCTCAGGCCATGATCTCAGGGTCCTGGGACCGAGTCCCACGTCGGGCTCCCCGCTCGGCAAGGAGTCGGCTTCTCCCCCGCCCTCTGCCCGTCCCCGAAATTGTGCTTTCTTGCTCTCTCTCAAATAAATAAAATATTTTTAAAAGAAGGAAGGCAGCTCAAATACCTTTTGCAATAGTCATCACGTGACTTCGTGGATAAAAGCACAAAGTTCGTTTTAGATTCACGCTCGTGCAATTCGAAACAAAAACTAAAATAAAGCCCGCAGGGACCCTGCACAAGACGCTGACGAGCCCCGCAGCCAGCCAGGGCCGGCCCCTCCGCGGCCCTCCCCTGGGGAAGTCCCGACCCTCCTGTCCCCACCAGCTGGCCTTCCGCGTCCTACAGGGCTCCCACGGCGCAGCCTCGATTCCAGATTCCGTTCGGGATTCCTGAGCCTGACGCTGCCGCACCGCGCAGACACGCTGGGCCCCCAGATCTCGGGGAGAGGAGCCCCCTGCAGCGGCGCCAGCCCCGACTGCTCACACCTGGCGCTGGCCACCTCCCTCCCTGTCCAATCTCGTGTCCCCCCCCCCCCGGGGACAGAGATGTGCCCACGGACTCTCGCCTGGCCGACAAGGCACACGCAGCTCACGCATTCGCTCAGCAAACACGGGGGGGAGGGGGGCTCCTGCCGCTGTGGACATCAGGAGCCCCTGGGGGCACTGCCCAGGCCTGGCCTCTGGGGCCTCTGGTGACTGGAGGGCCACCAGCCAACGCTCAGCAAGCTGTGCCCGGAGTGCAGGGAGGCTGAAGCGGGAGGCGGCCTGGAGTGTGCAGGCGGGGCTCAGAGGCGGGGGCGGCCTGGGGGGTGGATGCGCCCATTCCATGTGGCTGCCAACCGGCCAGACGATGCTGAACGGGGGACACAATCTGCCCCCGTGGCTCCCCCGGTCTGGCCCTCCCTCCGCGCTCTACTCACTGAAGGGGACACGCGGCGGGCGCTAGCCGCTCCCGGATGTCCTACGGACGGGCAGGGACTTACGAGTCCTGGATGCACTCACACAGGACAGCTCTGCTCCCGCCGCCCACGTGCCAGCGCCACACGACGCTCCGCGGAAACGAGAGAGCCAGCGAGCCGCCGGGGGCTGGCCTCGGTCACCTCCGACCCGGGGCGCCCGCTGAGCGCCTGTCACACCGTCCACACTGTGGGCAGCCCGGTTCCACATCCTCGGCTGCCCGGGGACGGCTCCCCCACACTCAGTCCACAGCGCACAGTGACATCCAGGGACCCGGTGTCTTGGGACCCAGGCCTCGGGGCCACCGAGCACAGCGGAGCGCACAGGGCCGGGCACACCGCCTCGCCGGGTGCAGAGAGCACGCCAGGGCTAGGACGCGGGCCCGCAGGAACCATGGGGCGCTGTGGCCTCGCACGACCTGCTCAGGGTCACAGACCCCTGGCTGGCTGGGTGCTCCGTGCCAGGACCCCCACAGCACAAGAACGGAGACGTGGGCAGTCATCCACTCACACTCGCAGGGCCCCAGGGCTCCTGCCACTCCGCCCCCCCCCCCCCGCTAGCCAGGCGTCTCCCCTGCCCCCTGCCCGCCCTGGGGACCTCGAGGCCCACCAGCGACAAGCCCACAGCAGACACATCCAGCTCGGGGGCCTTCTCCATGCACGAGCTCGCAGGCGGGCGGGAGCCCCCAGAGCAGCTGGCTGCCCCGATAGGTGACTCCCAACCCCAGAGGGACGGACGGGGACTCAGAAGGAGCACGACCAGAACAGTGCGCCAAGGAAGCCACCGCCGCGACACACGTACCCCCCCCCCCCGCTTTCTACTCGTGTCCTCTGCTCTCCTGGGCCGCAGCTTCCAGACTCCCCCGGGGACGGGCCCCAGCCCAGCCGAGGAGGAAGGCCAGGTCCTGGGGAGGGACCCTCCTGGGCGGGGCGCTCGGACACACTGTTCCCTGGGGCTGCCTGGAGACGCCAGGGCGCAGGGAGGGCAGCTCGCGGGCTCTCTGCGGGAGATGCCACCACGGGAGCTGGCTCTTCTGTTACCTGCGAAGCCACGGTCCCGCCGGCCAGCACGCCCACAGCCCTGCAGGAGCGGGGACTGCCAGCGCGGGTGCTGAGACCCACCCCCCGTCTCGCCCCCAACTCCTGAGCCTGTGCACGCGTTCGCTCACATGCAAAGGGGTGACACGCTCTTCTGAAAAATGAACGCTGCTGGTCGCGGAGACCGACGCGGGGCGCCACCTGCGTGCCGTTGGCCACGCGTGGACTCCACGGGGCCTGTCCTAGCTTTGAGGCCGGTCGCTGCTCATCTTCACGGTCAGTTTGCTTATACGCTCATGGAGCAAACACATGCGTGGAAAATTGTTGTAATACAGAAAAAAAAAAAAACCAGCACATCTGCCCCAAACCCGGGAGAAACCCCCCCGGAACGAGAAGCACAGCCATCAAACGTGGCCCGGCGGGTTGTCCGTGGTTGCACGTCCTCGGGCCACGCCATCCACTCGAAAGGCAGCCGTGCCAACTCCAGCAATGACCCCGTGAGCACCTGTACGCACACCACGTGCGGAACGTCGCCAAGGCCACCAGGAGCGATGCCACGGAGCACAACAGGACACCTGCCTCTCCGTGGAGGCTGCCGTGGCCAGGACCCCACGCACCGACCTAGGCACGCGGTGCTGGTGACCCGGGTCTGAGCCTGTGGCCGAGGGTGTGTGAGACAGGCAGCCGTGGCCGCCGTGGCCGCCTCCCTGGGCTCGCCGCAGCCTGCTTTACACGGGCGCCTGGAGCTTACGGCCCAGGACGAGCTGTCGCCGGGGCAGGGCCTGTGCAAGCCTCTGTGCTGGACAAGGCAGCGTCCACCCCTTCTGCTCACAACACGGCGCTGCCCAGCCCCCAACAAGCGCCCTCACAGCAAAGCGTACCCGAACCTGCAGAGGCTCACGGACAGTCCCTTCCTGCCCAGCAAGCGGCCAACCCTGGCCCCACCGCCCCCCACCCAGGGCCGGCTGTCCCGCTCCCACTGGCACTCGTGGCCACCTGGTCCAGCGCAGGCCCCTCCTAGCTCTCACCCTGCACCCTCACGCCCGCTCTCTGCTGGCCCACGGCACTGCAGGTCCCCCCTCCCCATCCCCACCTCCTGGCCTCCTCCTGGCCTCCTCCTGGCCTCCTCCTGGCCCCACTGACCCTGTCCCTTTGTCCTGCAGCTTCTCCCCTTGTGTGCCAGGCTCCCGCTACTGGTGCGTATCAACTCAATTCCGACCTGCATCACAGACAGGGACGTGGAGGCACGGAGGCCCCAGTGCCAGCAGCCCCCAGCAATGCGGGAGCCTGGGATGGAGGTCCCAGGGGGCCACAGAGCTGGCCCAGCAGCCCGATGCCCTGCCTGTGGCCGCCTGCCCTGTCCCAGAGGAAAGCCCGTGCCCAGCTGACTCAGGCTTTCCCACGGAGGCCCTGCTACCATGGACCCCGGCTCACCCACATGCACAGCTTCGCCCACCCGTACCTCCCTCCACTGAGGCCAGGCCCCACCTGCTGGCCGCCACCCCTCCCCACCATCTCATCTCTGGGCCACACCCCGGGGGGGACACTCAGAGCTAGCGCAGAAGCACCAACGGACACAAGACTCCGAATTCCACACACTTCAGCTGAGCCACCTCTGCCAGGAGGGATGTGTCTGTCACAGCACCCGGCTCCCGGCTCCCCGGGAGGGGGTGGCAGGCCATCGAGTCAGCTCCACCTGTCACATTCTCCCCGAAAACTACGTGAAAACACCATCTTATTTAAAGCTGAAAATGGCAGTTTCCAAACCACGTGTCACCCTATGAAGACCAAACAACTGGAAATTGGTTTAAATAAATAACATCTTTTCAATCAAAAAAAAATAAGAAGTTACCTACGAATAACAAAGAAGTTAAGTGGATAAAAGCGAATTTAGTTTTTCAAAAAGTTGCTGTTTCCAACAATTACACAAAGAGAATCCTGAGTCGGCAGGACATGGCCATGGGGTGAAGCGGGGTAATGGGGTGCATGAAGTCACGGACAGGGGGCCACGGCGGGGCTGGGACCGAGGGCTCTCCCAGGAGCACAGCCACCCATGGAGCCAGCCCAGCCCCCACCCCAAAGCTCACAGCAGCAAAGCCAACAGAGAACCCTCCACGGTGCAGGTGTCCCGTCCACCACGCAGGCGTATGATGGATCGCTGGTCCCCTGCCCTGAGGGACTCTCCACTCAGAACACCCCACGGCCCTCATCCCATCACTACAGACCACCTGCCCGGTGTCCCAGGGGCGCTCCTGGAACTCCGAGCAGGATCCAGCACATGACAGGGCTTAGGGAGCTCCTGCTACTCTCCACCGCCCCACCCGTCCTGTCAAGAGGACAAGCAGAGGCCACACATGTACCTGCCCAGGTGATGCGCAGGTAAAGGACACAGGCAAATACACATACCTGCCCAGGTGATATACAGATGCAAGACACACGTGTACCTGTACCAAGCAGGGTGTAAGGCACACACACGCACATACACCTGGATCTAGGTCATGCACAGGTACGGGACATATGCACACACTCCTGGACCTGAGTGATGTCCAGGTATAGGACACACGCATACATGAGTATCTGGACCCAGGCGATGTGCGGGTACAGGACACATGCACACATAAGTAGCTGGACCCAGGTGATGTACAGGACACACATGCACACACATCTGGACCACATGGATCATAGGTCAGGGAGAAGTACAACAGGCACCTGGACCCAGGTAATGTGCAGGTACAGGACACAGGCACACAGACACCTGGGCCACGTGGATTGCAGGTCAGGGAGACACACAACAAGCACCTGGACCCAGGTGATGTGCAGGCGCAGGACACATGCACACACACTCCTGGACCTCAGTGATGTGCAGGTACAGGACACATGCACACATAACTACCTGGATCCAGGTGATATGCAGGTACAGGATACACGCACCCACACTCCTGGACCCAGGTGATGTACAGGTACAGTACACACACACACGCGCGCGCGCACACACACACACACACACACACACATCTGGACCTGAGTGATGTGTAGGTACAGGACACATGCACACATGCACCTGGACCCAGGCGATGGCAGGTCTGGACATACGCACATACACGCACCTGGACCCGAGTGATGTGCAGGTACAGGACGCAGGCCACCAGGAAGCAGATGCAGAACACCAGGAGCAAGAGGACAACCACGTTCCTAGAACAGAAGATGCAGGGTCACTGCGGGCTGGGGCCAAGCAAGCTGTGCCTGACAAGTGCCCGCGATTCCAACCCCCGACCTCTCCACCAAGTCCCTTTCTGTCTTCCCCCCAACTCCTAACCAGCGGGGCCCACGGAGAGGTCCTCCTTCATGGAGGACCTGCCGCTGGGCACTGCCCTCCTGGGCTAAGTCATCTGGGAGCAGATTTTCTAGAAAAAGCTTGATCCCCACACGGGGCCATCAGGTGGTCGCCGTGTTTACAGCATCTGGGGACGGAGCAGCTTCCTGTGCTTTCTGGAAACTCTGGAAACCAAAGGAGAGCCACTCCACCAGGGGGTCTAAGAAACTGGCCCTCTGGAAGGAAAGTGGACATTCCTCCTGAAAGCAAACACTGCCAAACTCACTTTGACTTTGGGTAACTGATTATCACCAAATTACTACGTTTCTCTTCCTTTCCAGAGGCCACTATTTCTCACTTTAACATATCTGAAGATGATGCGCACCTAGAAATCAACGTCCCTCGAAATCTGTCCTGAAGTCAAGGGTACACGTTGGGCGGATGGAAAGGCGCTGAAAATATCTTGTGTCTTAGAACTGTGTAAATGACACACGAGAACCTGAGCGTGAGCATCCCACACGTGTGCCACCAGGGCCTGCCTGACGGCTGACTGCAACCAGGGGACAACGGCTGTGGCTCGTGCGGTCCCGGTGCCAGGGACCACGGTGGCAACGAGCAGACGAGGAAGGACCTCCGGCGCCCTCCTGCCCCGACGGCCAGGCCCGTCACACTTACTGCGGGATGATGAGAAGGTAGACGAGGCCGAACAGGGCGGTGAGGATGAGCGCCAGCACAACGGCACTGGTGAAATACTCGTCCTGGAGCTGGTGGTACTGGGGGACACGGAGACCGCCCATCAGTGGCTGCAGCTGCCAGGACACACGCAAGGTCCCCGCAGGGGCACCCGAGACCCGGGGACCACGCCGCCTGGAGACGGGTGGGGGGAGTGGCTCCCGGGGGGGCCCCTGCCACCTACCTTGCGCTCGCGCTCAGCCTGCTTGTACTTCAGGGTGAAGAAGTCCAGGTCTGCCATCTCCAGCTCCATCTGGCGCGCTTCCAGGAGGCGGCCGATGTACCTGTTGACGCGCGTGCCCGGCGTGGTGTAGACGACGTTCGCAGAGAACGATGAGCGGTTTCTGAGTTTCTCCGATGCGGTTCTCAATGCCCTCCGCTGCCGCCATGGAGGGAAAAAAATAAATGTCAAATCCTCCGCTCATTGAAGAAAAAGCTCTTCCACTCCCCTCAGCCTGCTGTCTTGGGGGGCAGGTGCGGGGCCGAGATGCGGTCGTGCCTCCACCACCTGAGATCCCAGGTGACTTAGTGCATCATTGGCCCTGAGACGCCTGCGTCTGCAAATACGGGCATGCGATGTTCATGTGGCACTCCGTGTGGATGCGGGCGGAACCCAGCACAGAGCAAGAAAACAGAAGTTGGTTCTTAAAAAATATCAATAAAATTGACAAATCTCCAGCAGGCATGACAAAGAAAAAAAGAGAGAGAGACTAACAAACCTGGGGATGAAACAATTCTACCATACTATGCTGACGTCAAAAAGGTAATAAGGAAATACTGTGAACAGTTACACACCTTAATTTGACGACTCAGATCAATGAACGACTCGGAACACACACGCTACCAGAACTCACCTAACATGAAAGGTTATGAGATTAGCCCTGTAATTTACTAAAGAAATTCAACTCATAACTGTAAAGTTCCCGAAAAATGAATCTCCAGCTCCAGGTGGCTTCACTGGAGAATTTTACTCAACATTTAAATAAGGATAAACACCAATTCTGCATCATCTCTTCCAGAAAACAGAAAAGGTAACACCTTCCAACTCACTTTATAAACTCGGAATCATCCTGATGCCAAAGTCAGACCGAGACAAGACAGAAACAGGAACACTACAGGCCAGCTCTTTCAATACCGATGCTACAATCCTTAACAAAACAGCAAAGAGAATTCGGCAGCCTAAGAACAGAAGCATGCACCATGACCATGAACAGAGATGCAGATCCTTTTACACATCTGCACATCGATGCAACACACCACAGAAAAAAATCCCATGGTTGTGTCAATTGACACAGAAAAATTTGACAGCTGAATCTGACAAAATTCAACACTCATTCTTGATAAGCAAGATCAGAAAACTAGGGAGGGAGGGGAAGTTCTCCAACTTGATGAAGATCCACAGAACACTGACAGCTACCGTCGTACTTGCTGGTAAAAGATGGAGTGCTTTCAGCAACCCCGGCCATTGCAATAGGGCAAGAAAAAGAAAAAAAAAAAAGAACATCAGAAAACTGGCCCTTTGCAGATGCCACAATGGTGTACACAGAAAATTCTATGTAGGGGAGGAAACAACTCTAGAACAAATGAATTCCATAAGGTCACTGGATACAAGATGAACATAAAAAAGGTATTTCTTGGGGCACCTGGGTGGCTCAGTCAGTTGGGCGTCTGAGTCTTGGTTTCGGCTCTGGGCATGATCTCGGGGTCCTGGGATGAAGCCTCACATTGGGCCCCCTGCTCAGCAGGTAATCTGCTCGAGCTTCTCCTTCTCCCTCTGCTCCTCCCCCTGCTTGTGCACTCTCATTCTCTCTCTCTAAAAAAACGTGTATTTCTTAAACTAATAATCAGCACGTGAAGACCAAAGTTAAAATTCAGTGCCATATGTACTCATGGAGAAAAACGAAGTACTAGCTACAAATCTAACACGTACACAACTTGTATGCTGGGGATCCCTGGGTGGCGCAGCGGTTTGGCGCCTGCCTTTGGCCCAGGGCGCGATCCTGGAGACCCGGGATCGAATCCCACGTCGGGCTCCCGGTGCATGGAGCCTGCTTCTCCCTCTGCCTGTGTCTCTGCCTCTCTCTCTCTCTCTCTCTCTCTCTCTCTCTGTGACTATCATAAATAAATAAATAAAAATTTAAAAAAAAAACAACTTGTATGCTGAAGACTATATGATACTGATGAAAGAAATCAAAGATTTCAGTGAACAGAGGGACACACGTGCTCATCGATGAGAAGACATGACACAGTAAAGCTGTCGATTCTCCTCATATTGATGTGCACAGGTTCTTTAAAAAAAAAAATTATTTGCTTATTCATGAGAGACAGAGAAAGAGGCAGAGACCCAGGCAGAGGGACAAGCAGGCTTCATGCAGGGAGCCCAATGTGGGACTCGATCCCAGAACCCCGGGTCAGGGCCTAAGCCGAAGAGAGATGCTCAACCAATGAGCCACCCAGGTGCCCCGCGGTGCATGGGTTTAAGGTAATTCTTATCAAAATCCTAACAGGAATTTTTTCATAGATAGACAGGCTTATCTTAACTATAAATGGAAAGGGAAGGGGATGAGAATAGCTCGTTTTTCTCAAAATCACTCAACCCAAGGTTAAGACTGATTGTGTAGCTACCCCGGTCGGAGCAGTACAGCGCTGGTGACAGGAGAGGCACAGAGATCTACAGAATAGAGAGTCCAGAAACAGCCTCACACCAGTATGGTCAATGATTTTTGACTAAATGCAAAAGTAATTCAATGGAAGAGGATAGTCTTGTCAATAAAGGGGGCTGGACCAACTGGTCATCCCTGTGCAAAAAAAGGAAATCTCGACCTAAACCTCACGTTATAAAAAGAACTTATCAAACCCAACACCCAAGAAACAAACAATCCAATCCTGAAATGGGCAAAAGACATGAAGAGAAATCTCACAGAGGAAGACATAGACATGGCCAACATGCACATGAGAAAATGCTCCGCATCACTTGCCATCAGGGAAATACAAATCAAAACCACAATGAGATCCCACCTCACACCAGTGAGAATGGGGAACATTAACAAGGCAGGAAACCACAAATGTTGGAGAGGATGCGGAGAAAGGGGAACCCTCTTGCACTGTTGGTGGGAATGTGACCTGGTGCAGCCACTCTGGAAAACTGTGTGGAGGTTCCTCAAAGAGTTAAAAATAGACCTGCCCTACGACCCAGCAATTGCACTGTTGGGGATTTACCCCAAAGATTCAGATGCAATGAAACGCCGGGACACCTGCACCCCGATGTTTCTAGCAGCAATGTCCACAGTAGCCAAACTGTGGAAGGAGCCTCGGTGTCCGTCGACAGATGAATGGATAAAGAAGATGTGGTTTATGTGTACAGTGGAATATTCCTCAGCCATTAGAAACGACAAATACCCACCATTTGCTTCAACGTGGAGGGACCTGGAGGGTATGATGCTGAGTGAAGTAAGTCAATCGGAGAAGCACAAACATTATATGGTCTCATTCATTTGGGGAATATGAATAATAGTGAAAGGGAATAAAGGGGAAAGGAGAGAAGATGTGTGGGAAATATCAGAGAGGGAGACAAACCACAAGCGACCTCTAACTCTGGGAAACGAACAAGGAGTGGAAGGAAGGGAGGTGGGCGGGGGGTGGGGGTGATTGGGTGACGGGCACCGAGGGGGGCACTTGACGGGATGAGCACTGGGTGTTATGCTATATGTTGGCAAATCTAACTTAAATTTTAAAATGTGATAAAATCTATGTATATATAAAAGATTAACTCAAAATGCACCATAAAAAATTCTGAGAACACCAGAAACACAGTCCAGAAAGGAAAAAAATATCAGTAAATCGGACATCTTTGAAATCTGAAACTTCTGTCCTGGGAAAGACACTGTGAACGTGACGGAAAGACAAGCCACACGTGTGACAGTAGAATCAGATCCAGGATTCATCGAGAACTCTGAAGAGTCAACAGTACCAAAAAAATAAAAAATTAAAAAAATTAAAAAAACACTCGAATTACAAAGCAGACAGGCATTTTGCCAACAAAGAAGAGAAAATATATGGACAGAAAACAAGCACTTGAAAAGGTGGCTGGCATGACGGGCCACCTGGGAGATGCCAATAAACGCAAGTCACTAAACAGGTGTTAGAACAGCCAAAATTTTCTAAAAGCAGAGACCGCACAAAGCTGGCTGGACGCAGAGAAGCTGCGTCTTGCACACGTGGCTGCCGGGAACGTGGTATGGGACGGTCTTTCCGGAAACAGTTTGGCGGTTTCTTAAAAAAAACCAAAAACAAGACCCATCCGCAGCACAGCTGGGCATCTGTCCCCGGTAATAAGCATTTACGTCCCCACGAAAGAGAACGCGAGCGAATGTTGCGGTTTTATTTTTAACAGTCACGGTCGGGAACAAGCTAAACGTCCTTCAACGGGTCCCGCAAACGGTGGCCCGCCCGCCCCACGGAATGCCAGCCGGCCACGGGGGCACGGGGGACCCGGGGCTCCGTCCCGAGTGAGGAGGAGCCAGGGTCACGGGGCGCATCCCGGGGTCCACGTCCACGATGTCCTCAGTGCAGAGGTCAGCACAGAGAGCCGTCCGTGGGGGGGCCCGGGGGCTGGGAGGGGCGGCGTGTGGCACAGCAGAAGGGGGATCGTGGCGTGAGGGAATGTTCCGGGCCCCGAGTGTGGCCGCCAGGACGCCCCGGGGCACAGCCACACGCACCACCCAGCGGCGCCCGTCACTAGCTCGGGTGCACGCGTCCTGGGGAGCTGCGACCTCGGGGAGCCCGCCGGGGGCCCCAGTGTGCACACTGCGTGGCGCCGCCGCGGACGTGCATGCGGCCAGGGTGGTGCATCACCGCCCCCCTCCGGAACGCGGCGAGAACGTGGGACGGGATGGGACAGAGCCGTCACCCACGACCCCTGCTGGGCAGGTTGCTCCCACACGACCAGCAGCGAGCGCGTCCGCGCTCCTCCCGGGCCGGCTCCTTCGAGGGCAGGACCTCCGCTGCGCCCCCGCTCCCCTGCCCCGCGGCGAGGCCACGCTTTCCCTCTTTGTCGTACTTCCCTGGACTTTCCACAACAATCGTGTTTCCTCGGAAAACAAGTCAGAGCCAAGGTCACAAGGAAACGTGCCCGTTTTGGTGCAGACTCTGGCCGCCTGGGCCTGTTTCTTGACCTGCCAGAGGCCAGGCTCGAGGCCTGGGTGCAGAGCCCTGGGTGCGGGCCAGCCGTGCAGCCCCGAGGGCGCCCCTGACCTCTCTGCTCCAGCTTCCCAGTCTGCGACCCACAACGAGGGGGGGCACAGCGTGCTGCCAGCGGGAAGCACCTGAGTCCACGCAGAGACCCAAGTGAGGCAGAGCCGCCGGGAGCAAGAGGCCCTTGCGGGAAGTCGGGAGGCCGGGCTGGGCCGGCTGACCCCGGGCAGGAGAGGTGACCCGGACCCGCTCTGCTCGCCACCAGGCCTTGCGGGGACGTGGGGGGAACAGGGCTGTGCGGGCAGGAGAGCCAGCTTGGGGGCCGACATGGACTTGCCTGCTCTGCGTCCTTCCCGCCGGCTGAAACGAGGACGCAATGACCGGAGCCCCAGCATCCCTGCGGGGCCACGTGGCGATGACAGCAGGCAGGCCGGCCGGAACAGGTCACGGGTCTGGCTCAAGATGATCGCGAAGCTGCCACGTGGGCCCCCACCTGCCTGCTCTCTGGGTTCACTTTAAGCGTAAGAAAGCTAACCTCTCTCCTGGTCAAGCCCCCACGACCGCGGGTTTGTCCAACAGCACGACGCCCACGCTGACTCACAGCGGCCCTGAGCACACACACGTGTGACATGCATTTGGGGGGCTCAGCGGTTGAGCGTCTGCCTTCAGCTCAGGGCATGACCCCAGGGTCCTGGGATTGAGTCCTGCATCGGGCTCCTGCATGGAGCCTGCTTCTCCCCCTGCCTGTGTCTCTGTCTCTCTCTCTCATTGTGTTTCTCATGAATAAATAAATAAACCTAATAATAAAAATAGTAGTAGTAGTAGTAGTAATAATAATAATAATAATAACACAGTGTGGAAAAGAGGCGCCAAAGTCAGAGCTACAACCATTCGTCCAGAAAACTGAGAGAGCCAGCCCTGGCCACACACGAGGGCGCCTGCGCAGGACTCAGGCCTGGACATGGACGACCGGGACACAGGGCCAGTGAGAGACCCCATCTCAACGGGGACACAGGCCCTGGGGGGCAGTGGGGACAGTGCCCGTGGGCAGAAGGGCCTGCCTGGCAGGGTCACCCGACAGCCACCTCCCCAGCTGCCCAGCTGGCATGCTGGCCCGGCCTCGGTGCCTGTCCCCCGCCCTTCGGAACCACCGGCCTTGTCACTGCCCCGTCTCCACCCCGGGGGCGACCCCCAAGGTGGGAGGCCAGGACCCGCTGTCCCCGGCAAACAGACAAAGGACCAGGGTCGGCAGGTGCGCACGGCCCCACCTGGGAGGCATCCCACACTGCAGAGGTTCAGGGGTCAGGGGCTGGGCCAGGATTCAGGGACGCAGCACTGTGCTCCCAGGAGGCGCAGGAATCCAGCAGCGACATCAGACGACAGGGAGGGAGGGAAGGGCCGGCGCGCACGTGCACAGGCATGCGTTCTCGTGCACACACGGCCATGCACACGCATGGACACTCACGCAGGCACACTTACAGAGGCACAAGGACGTGGTAAGAAAGGGAAGCCGCCAGGGGCCCTCAGGACGTGGGAACCCAGGCCGGGCAGGTGGCAGATGCACCCAGGGAGCTCGCGGAGCCTGTCACTAACTGCAGCCACGCAGGGCCTGAGCGAGACGGGCAGGAAGCTTCCCCCCAAAACCCCACCAGTAAACACCGACATGGGGAGACCCTGCCCCCCGTGGGAGGGGACGTGAGGACCACGCTCTCAGACCTGGCTTTGCACCGACGGGACCCGCTCTCAGGAACACTCGTGCACATGCCTGCCCACCTGGGATGTCCAAACCCACCGGCCACACACATGAAGCCCCCGGGTATGGGGGGGTGCAGGGGGTCAGTGTCGATGGAATTCACGTCCCAGCAAAATTCTCACAAACGTGAGCTCAGAGACAAATCCACAAAAACCCTTAGAGGCCATAAACCCCTGGGAGTGCCAGTCAGCAGAATCTGGCTTCTTCCTGAAAAGCCCCTAAAACTACAGGGATGGAATTCCTCGTAACTGCACAAAACCCAGGACGGCGGGGGACAGGCGGCACGGTGTCGGGAAACGGGAATCAGTCGTGGACGGAGCCACGCTGGGCTGGGGTGGCCCAGGACGCAAGGACAAAGGAGGGGAAGGGGCAGCGCGCCAGGCTTTTCCTGCCCCCACGGAGGACCGGGGTCGCCCCTGGAGGGGCTGGGGTCTCCGCCCACACCCCCAGACAGGAGGCCCATGTGGTTGAAGCAGATGCTGGGACCCGCACGGGGCGGCACCGTCCCCCAACCCAGCAGAAGAGGAGAAAACCCAAGGATGCCTCTGACCAACCCAAGGGGAAAACCAGAAACTCCCGGGAGCCAGGTCATGAGGCGGGGACCCCAGGGGAGGCCGCTTTCCGCGGACTCGACGATCTAGCCACGGAGGAGAGGCAAGCAGGTGCGTGGCAGGAGGCCACGGACAGGAGGGGGCCGAGGGCGGGTCTGTGGGACGGCGGCCGGGGCTCCAGACCTCACGACAGAGCATCTGAGGACCGTGAACCTCCAGACGGCAGCGGGGGTCTGAGCACGAATTTACCGAGAAGCACGGGGAATGCCAAATGGAAAAAAAAAAAATGCAAGAGGACAGGAAGATTTTCACAGGGAAACGAAAGCCACCCAGCCCCAGACAGCACCCACACGGTCAGGAAGCACAAAGGACGGCGCGGGCGGCCCTCCTACCTTGTCGTCATCCTCACACGTCATGACGTTGGAGAACGGGATCTCCGCCTTGAACATCTTCCGGCAGTGCATGAGCTGAACCAGCAGGTAGCACACGGTCTTGAATTTCATCCTCTTGGCTGGCTTGATGTCGGACAGGATGAGCCCGGGGAATATCTGTGCAGAGAGGCGGCCCGGGGACAGCCCGTGAGCGGCCCGTGAGCGGCCCCGAGCTGCCCCCGGGCCGGGCACGACCTCACGGGGACACAGACGCCAAACAGGCGAGCGGGACCGGCGGGCCGGCTCCACGCACACGGCTCTCGGCTCCTCCCGCGGCCTCTGGACCCAGAGCGAGGCCCCAGAGCTGGGCCTGCAGCAGTGGGGGGCTTGGGGCCCGGCCAGGGAGGTCCCCGGAGGCCTAGACGTCGCTGGCGGGCGGGGCGGCAGCCGGCCGAGGACCAGCGCCCAGAGACCCCCGGGGCCCTGCCCCGCAGGCCCCAACTGCCTGGGTGACTGCTGCTGTGCTGGGGTCCTGGGCGACCCCTCGCCTGGCCCTCCTCCAGGCCCGCGAGGGCTGCCCCTGCTGCAGGAGTGAGCTCAGGGAGCCCCTCGGCCATGGGCCCCAGGTCACAGGGCCTGCACAGCCCCAAACCACGGACACGCAGGACGGAGAAGCTTCAAGCTCTGTCTCACAGCCGACCTGCTTATGTCCTGAAGGAGCACCGGGGCTGCGGGTGACCCCGACCCCGCCTGTGCCCCCAGACCCTGCCTGTGCCCCATGCCCCCCGCCTGAGCCCTGCGTCCCCCGCCTGTGCCCCGCAACCCCCACCTGTGCTCCCTGACCTCGCCTGTGACCCACGGCCCCCCCTTCTGTGCCCCCTGCCCCTCACCTGTGCCCCCCACCCCTCGTTTGTGCCCCCCATCCCTCGCCTGCGCCCCCACCCCTTGCCTGTGCCCCACGACCCCTGCCTGTGCCCTGAGACACCGTCCTGTGCCCCCAGACCCCACCTGTGCCCCGTGGCCTCCCCTTCTGTGCCCCTGCTCCCCGCTTCTGTGCCCCTCGCCCCCCGCCTGTGCCCCGCATCACCTGCCTGTGCCCCCCGACCCCAACCTGTGTCCCGCACCCCCTGCCTGTGCCCCCAGCCCCTCGCCTGTGCCCTGAGACCCTCCTCTGTGCCCTGAAACCCTCGCCTGAGCCTGGGAAGAACTAGGCCCCCTTAATCACACCCAAATCCGTTTCCTTGGGCACACAGCCCTTGAGGGCCCCCTATGCAGGTCACGGGCCCTCCCGCGTGCACGGCTCCCTCAGCCCTCAGCAGCCCCACCACTGGCCTGGCATGCTGGAGAGGAGTAGAGGCCCAGGAAGGTCAGTGGGGGGGGGGGGCGGTTGCAGGGTGGCCCCGCCCCCGAGAGGACCCCGGGCTCCGCCTGGGGGTCCAGGAGCTCGTCCACCCCGAAGGCCTGGCCCAGGCCCAGGACCAGGCGAGTGGGGGCCCCGTTCCCCTCCCGGAGCCCACCTTCCGCCGGTGAGACGGCACGATGAAGAACGTTTCGATGTTGTGAGCTTTCAGGAAGCTGTTCCTCTCGTGCCCGTGACCCGGCTCCACCTCGTAGTCACCGTTCAAACACGCCAGCGTCGTCTTCGTGATGTGGACCTTCCTGCAACACAGCAGCCCCGCCATGCCCAGGGCCTGCAGGCGGCGGCAAGCGGCCCTCCCCGCGGACGCGTCCAGGACTCAGGCTCCCCGTGTCAGGGGCAGCCCAGGCACGTGGACACACAGTGCCAGGAGGAAGCTGGCGTGCCCTCCGGACAGTGAGGCCACGGGGCCTCCCTTCCTCGGGTGAGCGCAGGGGACGAGCAGAGAGAAGCGACAGCACCAGGCGGTCCGAGCCTCGGACCTCCTCTCCATCCACTGCGGCTCCTGCAGAGGCCGGGGGTCCTGGGGGCCCCCCGCGGGCCCCTCCCAGGTGGCTCCGAGAAGCACCTGCCCCAGTCCTTCGGCCCGGAGCGCATCGCCTCCCCTCGACTCACCCGGGCAGGCCGGCGGCCTCCATGACGTTGGCCAGGGTCACGTCGTTGGACCACACGTCGTACTGCCACTTGCGCAGGCCGAGGACCCCGCAGAGGACCCTGCCGGTGTGCAGCCCCACACGCATGTTCAGGTCCACCTCAGTGGCCTCGGCCACTGACCTGCAAGAAACAGGTCACGGGCATGAGCTGGGCCCTCGTGTACACCCGTGAGGGGAGCCCGGACAGGCGGGAGCATGGGGTCCGCGCCCGGCTCTGGGATGCACGGCCACAGTCAGGTGCCAGAGGGAGCGCTGAGCCAGGTGACCAGCCCCTCTGCCGCCCTGGTCTGTCCACAGGTGCCCCCACAGCAGGTGTGTCCAACGGGCCTTCCGCATGAGCGGCAAAGCCCAACCACACCAGGAGGCCGAGCCACGGCGCAGGCCACGGTGGCCCCGTGGTTAGCAAGTCGGCCACAAGGGAAACCACAGACATGCAGGGCCACCAGGCCGCCACCCTGGAGCCAACCCCACCAGCGCCCAGCCCGGGGCAGACCCCCACCCGCCCAGCAGAGCAGGTGGCCCGTGAGCTCAGAGACCAACCTCCCTCCTGCTTCAAGACTGCGGTTGATTCACGTGCGCCCACCTTCTTCCTAGTGCGACTTGGCCCAGCTGAGACGCAGCCTCCAGGGCGCCCTCCCAGGCCCTCACCCCCATCCCCCAGGGCCCATCGCCAGGGCCTCTGGGTGCCGGTTGCCCTTGCAGGAACCCCCTCCCCCAGCCCGTGAGGACCGCGTCCCCCTTGGCCCAGCCTGCCGTGGCCGGGCGCCCGTCACCGCCCCTTGTGCCCACCAAGGGCCCAGCCCCCAGAACCACAGTGTTTCGCGTCGGGTCCGGGGTCCCCGGTGCACGCCCAGAAGTCCGCGCGCCACCACGGGTTACTTGGGAGTCTGAACGGATGTGTCCTCGATACCTATTGACTTTTATACGTGATGAACGTATTTTCTCTCAATTTTAACTTTATCACCCGTTTCCCAACCTCTAGTGAGAGGCGCCAAGATAAACAAAACGAGGTTAAAATTTGGGTTGGGTTTTTTTTTTTTATTGTTTTGTTTTTTTGTTTTGGATTTGCAAACAGAAAGGAAGACAGAGAAACCTGAATGAGAAAAGCAGGACGCGGTCTACTGGAGCGTTTTTAACATTTCCGCCTCTGCAGCCAGGAAGGGGCCCAGGGACGGGGAGGCGGGGACCCACGTGTGGCCGGCAGCACCCCAGCCGGCCGCCAACCAAATCCCACAACCCACACACCCTCACCTGCTCTGGAAAGCTCTGCCTCAAACATCTGCCAACAGATGCAGTTACTGGGACACTCACTTCTCAGTAAAACGCGCATCAGGGAAGGTCTCACGGAGACGTAACCCCCAACACCCCAAACACCAGAGCCAAGCAAAGCGCGTCCGGCTAACGTCTCTTTGGCACAACAGCGGCTCCTGCTTGCTGGTGGCTGTGCGACCCGACGCTCTGCGGCCTCAGGGGCCGGGGCAGAGGAGCCGCGGATGGGGGCACTGAGGCTCCGGCTGATGGGGACCCAGCAGAGCACCAGGGCCGGCCCGGCCGGAGAGCCCCCAACCCCAGGAGCGGCGCCCACCCCGCAAGGAGGGAGCCCTGGGCCTCCGCTTCCACATCAGCGCCCTGGGCGGTCTTGAACACAGAGCGTGCCAGCGATCCTGCCTGTTACTCCCACGGGAACGTGCCTGCCATGGAGTGGAGCACAAGACCGCCCCCACCCGCTGCACCAGGAACACACACGTCCTCCCGAACCCCCACCCCGCCCCCCAGCCTCAGGAGAGCTCAGAACCCTGGCGGCCAGGGCCTGCACGCACCTGCCCTTGAGAGAGGCCGTCCATCACCGTGACCGTGTTCATGCAGGGGCAGCAAACACCCAGCCCCTCACACGCCTGTCCTGAGCTCACAAGTCCAGGGACCCTCGCGTTTGCACCCTGACTGGGTGTACTGCCAGAGAGGCAACACCCTCGGGGTGGAAGGAGCAGCATCCCCCGACCCTGAGCACCCTGGAACCGCACACAGGGTCTGCAGCAGATGCTCTAAGAATCCCACAACCGGCCCAAACCAGCCCCCGGCTCTGGGTCTCCCCCGTGCGCCAAGGACCCCCAGCTGGAGCCGACCGCTCCGGCCTGGCAAGGGGCGTCTGCAAGCACCACCTGCCTGCCGGTCGCCCACAGCTCCTCTAGCCCTCCAGGCCGCGGCGGGGCCTCGGGGATGCTGCGCCTTCGGGGCTCCCAGGGAGAAGACTGACAGGCCCTGCCCAGAAGGAAGCCGCTGTCCTCCCCGGGTGCCACGGGCCCAACGCACAGCAGCCCGCAGCCCGGCCAGAGGCCAGACACCCGCCCTGGCCACTGCTCCTCGCTTCTTCTTGGGCAAGTTTCGCGTTTGCAGAGTTCCAGGCTAAACACAAAGACACACGTTTGCGCACGTTTCTGTGTCAGACGGGGGTGGTGCGGCAGGTGAGGGAGGCCACCAGCAGGCCAGGAGTGGCCCCCCAGGAGCCCGGCCCTGCGTGAGGCCCACCATGCGGCGGACGCACACAGGCGGCGCCCTGCGCTGGGGCCCCCGGAGAAGGGAAGAGGGGCTCATCGTGGGCAGGAGGCCGGCTCCGAGCTGTGGCTCTGGTGGCCCTCGCCCCCGTCCACAGCCGGGACGGCGCCCAGCACACGCTCCCAGTTTGTGGAGACAGAGACCGGGCCCCGGAATCCCAGGAGGCCGTGGAAGCCTCTGGGAATCCGGAGCCGACGCAGACGGCAGCCCCTGGAGGCCAAGGAAGATGCCCACTGGCCCCGGGGTGGGCGGCCTCCGAGGCCAAGGCCGGGTCTCAGGGCCGACAGGGTTGGGGAGCCTGGAGCTCAGCCTCAGCGGACAGGAGACAGAGCCAAGGGGCCCCCACCGCCCCGAGTGAACGGAGCAGGGGGCAGACAGGTGGCCGATCCACCTCTCCACACGGCACAGCAGCAGCCACGCCCGAGGGGCGGCGCAGACCTCCGGGTTGGGGCAGCCAGGAGACGGTCACAGAAATCCCTCCGAGGCCGCCCAAGTGCGGTGAAGGTGGGGCGCACCAGGGCAGGCCCAGAGCCCGCGTGAGCAGCCAGGTGTCCCAAGCACGCCTCTGGGCGCCTCTCCACCCAAGGAGACCGAGGGGTGGCAGGGGCACCAGGTCCCCCCAGGAGGCAGGGGAGGCCGGCGTCACCCCCCTCAGGGACATCAACAGCACGAGCCGTCAGCGACAGCCTGGCCAGGCCCTGCCGGGGACGCACCTCTGACCGGCTGACGGCAGGGTGGACACCTGCCTCCCCGCACCTCCCCCTGCACAACCTCACTTTGGCCCAGGAGGTCCCAAAACGAGACAGGACGTGACCCAGGCCGTGCTCCACACTGATGTGGCCGCGACGTGAGAGCTGCTGGACGTGAGCCCCACGCGACGTCACACAAGACAGCACGGGCTGTGACACGAGGGGTGACACGCGACGGGGCGTACGTCACATGCTGACAAAGGACGCGATGTGAACCGCAGGCTATTCGTGGCACGTGGCGCCCGGCGCTCTGATGGCTGGGACGTGGCCGGGGACACGAGAGGACGCCGTCGCCGTCGGAGGGGGAGCCTCTGAACCCTCTGGGAGACGCACCTGCGCTTCCTGCCTGGCCCTGCCCGCCTGCCCCAGGGCAGCTCCCCCTCGAGGGCAGAGGCTCCAGTGTCTGGATGCACACTGGCCTCACCGGGGCCTCTCCCGCCCCCAACCCTGGCGCGGGCGCAGACCCGCCACCACTGGCACAGGGACCCACTGCCCGCAGGGCCCCCACCCCGTCCCCGAGGGCGCTGCCCGGCTCCTGGACACCCCACCTCCACACCCATCCACACTTCGGGGCCTCCTCGTTTGCATCTCTCTCTCTCTCCCCTTTCTTGTTCCTCAGACAACGCTGCTGCTGCCACTTCTCAGCTCCGAGTGTGGATGCTGACAGCGGTCCCTGTGAATTAAGCCCGTCCTGCGGGGCTGCACCCACCCCTCTGAGCTGCTGAGACGTGGGCACGGGGGTGCTCCAGCCACCAGCGCAGCCTCCCGACCCCCGTCGTCCCTACCCCGACCGAGGGTCCCTAACTCTTCATCCCGCCGCCTGACGGGACGAGACAGGCTGGCTGAGAAGTGGACACGGGCGGCCCGCGGTGTCCAGGCGACGCGCACCTGTTCCCTCGAAGGCCCCTCGGCATGGGGCACCTGGACGCCGAGGCGCGCAAGGCCGAGCACGTGCAGTTCCTTCAAGCGGAACCGGCTGACTCCCTGGATGCCCGGCCTGGCTACGCGACAAAGCGTATTTCTTCCCACCCCCCTAACGCCATCCCGACAACGCCCGGGACGGCCACGGAGGAAGAAATGCCGTCCCAGGGAAATGCAGAGGAGGGGGTCCCAGAGGCACACGCGCCTCGCATGCGGCCTGGCTCTCGGCACAGTGGACGGGACAGCGCGGGGGCGGTCGCCGCGGGGACGGTCGCCGCGGGGCACTCACGTGATGGTATCGATCATGTCCAGGCCCATCTCCACGCAGCAGTGGGCATGGTCGGTCTTGGGCTGGGTGAGGCCGGACACGCAGTAGTAACAGTCGCCGAGGATCTTGATGCGGCGACAGTGGTTCTCCTGGGGGGCGGGGGGCGACAGGACAAATCCCAGGTTAGTGATCCGCCCGGGGCCTGGGCATCTGCACTTTCACCACCAGGTGCCAAAGACCACAGAGTGTGCAGCACGACAGGCAGGGGACCCCTCGGAGGCCAGGGCAGCCTCAGGAAGGTGAGCAGCCCCAGGGCTGTGGTTAGGGTCACCCTGGGGCACCCACCCGGCCCTATACCTGCACTCAGGCCGGTTCCCACGCAGGGGCCCACCCTGCCCGCCCTGCGGCCCAGCTGGCACACCCACACAGCCCCAGCCTGGAGCCAGCTCTCTCTTCCAGGGGGACCAGCACTGCTTCCCTCCTGACCACCACCTCAGACCGTCACCTGCTGGCCCCTGTGCATCGTGCCAGACACCCCCGACACCGGCCCCCGAAGGGCAGGTGCGCACACCTGCGTCCTCGTGGCTGGCCTCCACGGGATGTGTGGGCGGCTGCTGTGAAGAGTCACCCACTGGGGCCCGAGCCGCAAGGGGCGCACCAGGGCCTGCACCCTGACCTCGCCACCCAGGGTCATCTCAGAACTGCCACTCTGGCACTTCGCAACAGTAAGAGGGTCAGCGCCCACCTCGCCGTCGCCCGGGGGCAGACCTACTAGCACCTGTCACACGCTGACCCGCCGCTCTCGGCTGTGACCATCCTCGGACACTTCCGTAAAGCTCCCCTCTACGTCCCTAATAGCAGACGGCCTCACAAAACTCCTTCCCGCCAGTGGCTCAGGTCCACGGGTGTGACCACGAGATACGAGGGAGACGCTCTCCAAAACCCATTCACGCGTTCGTTCAGAGGGGACGGCAAGCCCCCTACACGTTAACGGAAGTCGCAAACTTCACGAAAAATGACCTTTTCCAGAATGAACACAAGCAGCGAGAAGCGTGGCTGTGTTCACACGGGGAGTGTCGCGGGCGCCCCGGGCCCACGGGCGTCTGCAGCCCCCTCTGAGAGCACATCCCCCGGCTTCTGCTCATGCTGCCCTCCGTCTGCCCAGAAGGACAGACCCCTCTGGGTGTTCCCCGGTGCTACACGTTGACCTGAGAATTCACCGTGAGAGCCCGCAGCTCCCGCCTCCTGCAGCCCCACCCACCCCCACGTCAGAGGACAGGGCACCCGCCCGGCCCCCTTGGGCTCCCCCGTGGACTGCAAGCTGGCCGCAGGGACGTCCGGTTCTGACCACTCAGCCTCCGGGGGACCGTGGCAGCCACCTGTTAGGACCCCGCCGGCCTCCCTGCCTGCGGAAAGGAGCTCCCGGGTGTCCCACGGGAAGGTCGGGCCGGAGGCGGCCTGTCCTCTGCTGGTGTTGGGGAGCCAGATGGCCGGAGGCAGACACCCCCCCGGGGGAGCCGAGGGCCGGGCCCCAGGGAGTCAGCCGGCCCGCGCTCCTCAGCCACGCTCGCCAGGCCTCCAGCCAGCAGGCAGCCCTGGGATCTCTCCGGGCTCTTCCGGAGCACTCGCCCCACCGTCCCCATCGTCCCCAGTGGGCAGGCAGGCCAGGACGCCCATGCAGGCCAAGGACAGGGAGCCCTCTCCCAACGTCCCGTCCCCAGGCCTGGGGCCCAGGATTGGCACCAGGGGCCACTGCCAAGCCTCGCCCGTGTCCTGGGCGTCAGGACGTCCTCCCAGCGATCGGCCTGGGGCTGCAGACCCCAACCTCCGAGGAGCCCAGGGGTGACGGCACTATTCCTGCAGCCGGCCCGGGTCCCGGTACCTCAAGGGTGATGTGTGCCCATCGGCACCTCCGCAGGGCGTCCCTGTGCCCCCGGCTGTCTCTGGACCCCAGGTGTGCGCAAGCCGCAGGAAGGCAGGGAGGTGCCCACGGGGAGCCCCGGGAGTGAGCACGCCGCCCGCACGCCGCCCTCCAAGGAAGGGCAAAGCCACTGAGCAGGCAGCATCCGGAGGCCACAGCCTCCTAATTACAGGCTGTCAGCGGCAGATGTGTCCTTGGTGAAGGTCCCGCCGCGCGGCCTCCGCCCCTCCCGGCTGCCCGGCCGCGGGGCAGGGCAGGGCACAGCGCACGGCAGACCGGGCTCAAAGCAGCGAACGCCTCGCCTCGTCTTCTAACCTCCAACGTCCCGGCTGCCGTTCGCCAGCTCGCGAGACAGAGGAGGTGCCGCACCGACTGGGCCGTGCTCCAACCTCAAGCCCCCTGAGGGGCAGCCCGGGAGCTGGAGCCAGGCCCCTGCGATGACGACGGGACAGCGGTTTCTGAGACCTCCGCCCACATGTCCACGCTGGGGACACAGCGGCCAGCGAGGCCCGAGGGGCTGCAGGAGGATCCGGGCAGGAAGGCCGCACGCGGGGCCTCACGGACAAGCTCTGACCCGCCGCCCAGCCGAACGGGCAGCCGCAGGGGCCTGGACCCACGACATCAGCCACAGCGTGCGCGGGGAGGAGGCGCCGACCACCATCCACCGCGGCTTCCGCTCCTCCTGAACCGTCCGCACAGAATTCCCTTCACCCGGCCCTTGCGAGCCGGCCCCAGGGTAGGATGAGGGTCCTGTGGTCCCAGAGCCTCTGCCCGCCGGGGGGGGACCGCACAGGAGCCACGTCTGTCCGGCCGCAGAGAGGCCGTCAGCCCAGCGCCGACTCCGCAGGCCCAGGCAGGCCCGAGACGGCCCCGCGCCCGGTGTGGCTCTGGGCAGCAGGCGGTCATCGTGCACGTCGGCTCCTGGTACCGGGACCGAGGGGACCGCCCACGGCAGCACGATGCCCGACCCCGTGGGCCCTCCCTCCACGCACAGGCCTCAGGGTCTCCACCGAGGAACCAAGCCATGCAAATACTTTACACAGTTCAAAAAACTCAATTGGGGACACCTGGGAGGCTCAGCTGAAGCGTCTGCCTTCAGCTTAGGTCATGATCTCGGGGTCCTGGGATCAAGCCCCATATGGGGCTCCCTGGTCAGCACGGAGTCTGCTTCTCCCTCTGCCCGTCACCTTGCCCGTATTCACGTTCTCTCCCTCTAATCAATCTTTAAAAATCTGAATGAATAAATAAACAAACGGCAAGCAGCGATGCTCAAAACGCAAAACCAAAATGAAATAAGCCCTAAGGGTGACAGCGTCGGGAGGGTGACGGCATCGGAACGGCGACCGCGTCCGGGTGCTGCGACTGCATGTCCAGTGGGACGTCAGCCGCGGACAAAACAAAGAAAGGCCTCGAGGAACCCGAAACCGCACGTGGTGTCCTGTCGCACGTGTCGAGCGGGCAACGTCCCTCTGAGCCTTCGATGCGCAGAGACATGAAAGAGGGAAAGGACGTCGCCGGCGTGGGGACTTCCAGCCTCGGGGAGAAGGGACGTGCAGGGGAGAATCAAAGGAGCGGAGGGACTCAGTGGTCGGAAAGAGCAACACAAACACAGGATGCGCCGTTATTCTTCTAAAACACAGCCTCACCCCTGCGTCCTGAGACGCCGGAGGACGAGCTGGAAAACCAGTTCCCGTGGACGGAAGCAATTGCCGCATCTGTGTGCGGAGGTGGGGGGGGGGGCGTCTCGCCATCCGGGGACACGGGCTGGGGGCGGCCTCGTCCCTGGAGGCGGGAGGCGCCCGCGGGGAGGCCCCAGAGCAGGGGGGATGCATCCAGGCACAGCGGGCGCCCACAATCCCAGGACCGCCCGGGACGGAGGGGCCAGACGGCGGCTCCGGGCGCCCATTCCTCAGTCGGAAAGCACATCGGTGACAAAAGCCAAGCGGGCACCGTTTTTGAGGATCACCAATCAGCTGACGTGTGAACCTTCTTCGATGTAAAGAATCACGAGCCAATAAGTGCAGGAACAATGATGGGAAAAGTTCGCCGCAGTGAATTACCAAGCGCCCCGCTTTCGGGGCAGCTGCCATGGCCCCCCACGGGACGGACGTCATGGGAAGCAGCCGGCAGGTGGGTCGCACGCACGCAGGGACCACGGAAACCGCGAGCCTTGAACGAGCTGGGAGCCGGCCAAGGGCACGCCAGGGGAGGAACGGGGAGACCGGCGGCACCCAGGAAGGCTCCCCAGCACGAAGGAACCAGGCCGGGCCCCAGCCCCAGGGGCCCGGGGGCTCAGGGCAGGTGGCGGGCAGGAGCCGCCCCGAGGCCTGTGTCCTGACAGACATCCGGGGGCCGCGACGACCAGTCCCGCTGTGTCCACAGCAGCCCAAGGGTCTGGAGCCCCCACCCCACCCCACGTGCTCTACACGCCCTGCCGCCCAGGCCGGCCGCCAGATCACAGAGGAGGGGACACCGGAGCCAGGGTCCGTGTTACCAACTGTCAGGCCCCTCGCCCCCCTTGCCCTTCCTCTGTGGAAACCACGAGAAAGCCCCACCACGCTGCCCAGCCCCCTCTGCGCCCCGCACGCCGTGCCCTGCCCTCTTCAGGGTCTGCGGGGCCGTGACCAGTGGCACGAGCTCCGTGCCATCCGCCAGCGCCCAACGTATATTAAACCCAGACACGTATCCCGCCTGGAACACGGCTGCCAAGGACAGAACGCCTGACATGACGTGCAGGTGCCGCGGCCCAGAGAGACCCAGAGCTTCCACGCTGGCGGTCCACTGGGCAGGTGACAAAGGCATCGCGGCGGCCTCGTCATTCTCGAGGGAAGGGCTGGGGCTCAGGCTGTGAGCACAAGGTGCGGTGACGTCTAGAACCCGGGAGGGGAGCCGCCAGCCGGAGGGGCTACAGGGGTCAGGTGGGGCAGCTGTGTCCTCCCTGCCATCATGCATAGGTGAGTCCACACGACACATTCCCCAGCCCCCGAGGGCAGGGCTGAACCTCTCCCTGCAGCTTCTCTGAGCGCATCCCCAGAAGCATGCAGGCACCCCCAGGTGAGCCGGGTGCCCCCCACCTTCCCGGGGGCCCACACCCCACAGCCCTGAGCTGCCCTGGACGAGCAGTGATCGTCCCCTCCTGAAACGAAGCTACATCTCTGCAACCAGAGGCAGGCGGGGCGGGGACGACCAGGCGAGTGACCCTGGGGGTGGGGACAGGGGCCAGGCTGG